CAAGGCACGGATAGTGTTGTGGAATTGGCTGATTTCCCTAAAACTTTTCAAGAGAAAAAGAAACTTGTCAAGTATGTCTCAGGAATACAATTTAGTCCCAGAAGATAACAGCACACAGCTACGGAAAGTGTGCTCTTTGCAGTTCTTTGGAAAAAAAACAGTGGTCCCCCACCTAATAAGAAAAACGAAAAATGTTCTAACCATTTAGTCAATTTATACCAATAATGATCCTAAAAGAAATTTGAAAATTATTTCTTTATATTTTCCTACCTCCTTCCCTCCCTCTGTTTCCCCCTTCTTTCCTGCTTCTTCCTCTTTCTTTCTATTCTTTCCTCCCTCCCTCCTTTCCTGCCTTTTCCTTTCTTTCTATTCCTTCCTTCTTCCCTCTCCCTCCCTCCTTTCCTGCATTTTCCTCTTTCTTTCTATTCCTTCCTTCCTTGCTTGCTTCCCTTTGTCCTTCCCTTCCCTCTTAATTATTAGTTTCTATTAGTTTTTTATCTTTCCGCTTTACACATTTTAGTAAAGTTATCATTAAAAAAGAGAAACAGTGTTCCCCTGAAGGAGAAAACCTCTCTCTCACAAACACATATACTCCACTTTAGATAAATACATCTGATCAGAATCAGAAGTTTTTTAATTATATCAAATTATTTATTTTAAAGTTGACAGAAGGGCAAAAAGCAGAGCAAAAGTTTTAATAGCAATTCACAGACTGATGTTTAAAAAATGAAACTGGCAAATCTGATTCACTATAAACGTTAGACACAAGTAGTCCTTGATTTACAACCAGTCACTTATGACCGGTCAAAGTTATGATGGACCCCCAAAAGCTACTTATGACCTAGTTCAGGATTCCAACAGCTGCACACACCTCACAGTCACATGATCGCATTTTGAGCGCTTGGCAATTGGCTCAACTTTACATTTTTCCAGCAAAAACAACCATAGGAATACACAGTGACCCTGGCTATGACTATGCCATTCACTTAATCACTGATGATGGAAGCCCAGATGCGCTGGGCAGGCCATGTTGTAAGGATGCCAGATCATCGCATCCCTAAACAGCTCTTCTATGGAGAGCTGTCTCAAGGAAAGCGATCGCACTGGGGACAAAAGAAGCGATACAAAGACACGTTGAAAGCTTCTCTTAAGTCCCTGGATATTAACACCATCTCTTGGGAACTTCTGGCACATGATCGACCGACATGGCGCACCTTGGTGTACCAGGGTTGCCAGACATATGAACACAGAAGGACAATCTTGGCACAAGAGAAGCGAGCACTCCGCAAAGCCAGAGCTGAAATGCTGAAGTAACAGTGTCTACATTTCTTTGTTCAGTATGTGGCAGAACATTCCGTGCTAACATCGGTCTTATTAGCCACCTACGGACACATCGTTGATGGCCCATAACCCACAAGATGTCAAGGTCTTCATCGAAAATTGATGGACGAACAACAGCTGCAAAAAAAAAAAAATCATAAAACTGAGTCTGTTGACTGAGTGCCTTGCCTTATGACCATCTTAACATAGAATGGAAATTCCAGACTCTGGTACAGTTGTAAGTTGAGAACTATCTGTAATGAACATAGATCTCTATGGAATCGCTTTGGAATACTGTTTAATAAGTCTCTTTTGTAACATTGAATGGAAAGGGGGGAAGGGAAAAAAATGAAGGTGAAATACCCCACCTGCAGCTATGTCTAACCTGTGACTTTTATGCAGCAATAACCACAGAACAGGAAAATAAGAGACAACTTTCAAGGTTAGGCATCTGAGTGATTTGCAAGTGTCCGTGTCTTAGTGCTTATCTCTGCCACAGTTAATTCATCATCGGTGATGAATTGGGCACATTCTCACTAAACCTTTATTTTTACGGCAATTTATTGCCCTGGTTGCCAGAAGGTATATTCCCCAGAATTAGCCTTATCTCTGTGGATGGACTCCCAAGTTTCCTGTAGCCAGTTTGGTTTTACAGCTGGGAAGCCGAACTGGGTGATAAGGAAACACAAAGGTGATTAAAATTAAGTCTCTTTCAGGTTAGACGTGATGGTTAAAGTGTGTTAGCTTGCATTTCTGAAGATAGGGGGCTCCTTTGAATTGGGGAAGGGTATCACCCTCCACCCTTAGATTCCTGCATGGAGAATCAGTGGTGGGCACGTGAATTCACACTGTGTCTGGCCCAGCTGCAGAATTTTTCCCATGCAGATAGTCCTCAGCCTACATTCATTCATATAATAATAATAATAATAATAATAATAATAATAATAATAATAATAATAATAATAATAAAGTTGGAAGGGACCTTGGAGGTCATCTAGTCCAACTCCCTGCTCAGGCAGGAAACCCTATACCATTTCAGATCAAATGACTGTCCATTCTCTTCTTAAAAACTTCCAGTGTTGGAGCATTCGCAGCTTCTGGAGGCTGGTTGTTCCACTGATTAATTGTTCTAACTGTTAGCAGCTGTTCGAAGATGCAACGTCACTGAAAAAAGGGACTTACAACTCATCCTCATGTTTGCAACTGTCGCAGCATCCCCAGGGCTACGTGATCAATATTGGTTGCTTGGCAACTGACATGGATGGTTGTGGCATCCTGGAGTCGTGTGATCACCATGTGTAACCACAACTGGCACCAGAATTTCCATTGCTAAGCAAGACAATTGTTAAGTAAGTTGCACCCAATTATATACCGCTTCACTGTGCATTTATAGCCCTCTCTAAGCAGTTTACAGAGTCAGCCTATGACCCCCAACAATCTGGGTCTTCATTTTACCGACCTCAGAAGGATGGAAGGATGGGTCAACCTTGAGCTGGTCAGGATCGAATTGCTGGCAGTGGGCAGAGTCTGCCTGCAATACCATATTTTAACCACTGCTCCACCATGGCAAGGAAGGAAGGAAGGAAGGAAGGAAGGAAGGAAGGAAGGAAGGAAGGAAGGAAGGAAGGAAGGAAGGAAGAATAACAATAGCCCTTAGACTTATATACCACTTCACAGTGTTTTACAGCCCTCTCTAAGCAGTTTACAGAGTCAGCCTATTTGACCCCCAGCAAGCTTTATTAAATGAGCAAACTTTATTTTTAAAAGTTTTATACATGTTGGTGCCTGTTTCTCCCAACAGGCATTTTTGTTGGGCTGTGTTGCTCAATAAATCAGCTAATGGGAGAACGCCCAAATCTTGCAGACTCATTCCTATCTGACAACCTGGTTGATTTGTTATTCTCATGAAGTTCTATTCCTTTAAAAAAAAAAATCTTTTTAAAAGAAAATGTGGGATGAATTAAAGTCAAGAAGTGAGGTCCTTGATGCTCTCTGAGCTTGGTTGTTTACTTGCGGACATTTCATGACCCAGTTAGGTAACTTCATCAGTGTTAGAAGGGGGTTTGTTTATATACCAGTGGCTTGCCCTGTCATTGTTGGTGGGAGTGTTCTTAGCGGCTCCTTGATCAGGCTGTTGTTTACTGTTAGTTTGTCTGCGTTGTTAGTTCTTTCATTGGAATATTGTTTACTGTTTGATTGTTGATCTAGTATTAATCTTGGTGTTAATCTCTGCTTATCTCCAGGGGCAAAAAGGAGCGAGGCCCCTTTAAGGAAAAGGTGGAAGAGACTGGATCAGAAAAAGAAAAGGAGGTGAGGTTGTGGTGCAGGAATTCAAGCTAATTTGAGGGATAATTCCATCTGTCCTGTTTGCCATTGTTTGCTCCCTAGAGAAGGGCTTTTCAACCAGTGGTATGGGTACCACCTGTGGTACATTGGCACCTGGCAGGTGGTACGCGACCATCCTAGAAAAGTGGTAGTGGGGGAGGGGAATGAGCTGAACCGGTGGCAGCACCGCACAAGCCTGAGTGAGAGATGGCTGGAGCTGCAGGGCTGTCAGGGCTCAGCGGAAGCGCCAGGATCAGTGCCGCTTTCCAGCTGACCAGTGCTTCTTCGGGGCTGTCAGGGCTCAGTGGAAGCACCAGGATCAGCGCCAGGCTCCAGCTGGAGCTTGGCACTTATCCTGGAGCTTCTGCTGAGCCCAGAAGAAGCGCCGATCAGCTGGAATGTTGCAGCATCCCCAGGGTCTTGTGATTTACATTCAGATGCTTGGCAACTGATTCATATTTATGACGGTCACAGTGTCCCAGGGTCATGGGAAGTGACCAAAACCTGCTGCAACCACCCAGCAGATGGGGAAAATAAAAACCAAACACCCCCCACCCCACCCCCGCTGCCAATCCCCAACAGAAATGCTCACAACAATGAAAACCTCGGACAGGAGGAAGAACACCACCGGGTGAGCAGGCAGGTGACTTGCTCAGCTGTTTCTTGGGGGGCACTTTTTTCAGTGCCATTGTAACTTGGAACAGTCACTAAGCAAACTGTTGTAAGTTGAGGACTACCTATACTTTATCACTTTTTTCCTTTTTTTTTTTTTGGTCATCAAGTTTTTGACACCTTGCTAGGCGACTGGCGGTACTCGGATATTGCCATATCCTAAAAGTGGTACAATGGGTGAAAAGGTTGAAAAGCCCTGCCCTAGAGACTAAAATGGACGATCTGAAACTTGAGCTGGCCACGAACAAGGAGTGTATAGCGAAGTGGTGGCCCTTTGAGAGCTGTATGCAACGAAATTTCATTTTGGTGTATGCTGATTGGTGTACATTCAAAGTGACAATAAGATTGTTGTTGTTGTTATCTGGATATTGATTGCTGGTGAAGAGATGACAGGGCAAGGCCACTAGTATATAAACAGAGAGAAAACTGCCCCCCCTTCTAGCACTGATGATGTTACATAGTTGGGTTGTGAAATGTCTGCAAGAAAACAACCAAGCTCAAAGAGTACCACAGACCCCACAGAGAAATTTTAATTGTGGACTTCCAAGGAAGTTTGCAGAGAAAACTCAAAACTACACCATGGCAAGAATGATGTTGCACTTACAATCTTGCAAATGTTGACCTTCCTCATACTCTGGTATGCTGCAACCTCACAAGATCCACCTAAGGCCACTTTCTGCTCCACAAAATCCTAGTGTTCAAGTCTAATCTTCCTTTCTGACCTATGGAAGCAGAATCTCGTATTCCTGAAGCAACCAAGAATTGAAGGGTCATGTCCTGGGATCTGGTTTCCTGTGGCCTTCAAAGAGGTATGTGGGGTTTTTTTAGATGTTAGTGCTGATCGTTGTCTTAAAGTCCTCTGGGTGGACTTTCCTCCTATCAGCAAAGGACATCCTGGTTTTCAGCAAGCCCACTTCTTGGCTGAAGAGCGTTTCCTTTCACAACCCAACTGCAATGTCAGTTTTCTTTCCCCAAACAGCCATTGCAGCGGTCAAATCCGATAGTTTTGATAACTGAATGAAGTCATGTAAAAGAAGCTGGTGCCAAGAACTAAGCAGTAAACCATCAGCTGTTCCATGTATTTTTATTACATGTCTTCTCTGGAGTGACAGGATGATTCTGACTTCGATAGTTGATCTATCTTTCCTGGGGAAAATGTAACATTTCCCTGGGCAATCCCAGTTGTTACAGATGGAAAAGAATCCCAAAAGTGCTTTTTCACAAGGCGACTTTCTTGTTTTTTTTCTTTGAAGATGTTTCGCTTCTCATCCAAGAAGTTTCTTCAGCTCTGACTGGATGGTGGGGAATGGAAGGATTTATACTCCTTGCAGACAGCTGGTCATTTGCCTTCTTTTAGAGAGTCATTGGAACTTACAACACAGTTCTTTCAGCAATTCCAAGAAGGCTCCACACCCATTTGCACCACTCAGGTGACCCTGACAACACAGGTAAATCTCCAAGTAGCCTCAACAACTCTCTAAAACCCGCTGAGCCCCATGCGTGCCAGCAACCCTCCCTGTGCCCGCCGGCCTCCCACCTCCCACCCCTGGCCCTCTTTTACTTACATTTTTAGTAGTTGCTCAGCAGGGAGGGGTGGAAACTTCCAGACAGCTCACCTTCGCTGCAGACAACTTGCAGCACCGTTTGCAGAATGGGACTTTTGGCGGGCTCAGCAGGGCAGAGACAGCCTGGACAATTCCTATTGGCTTTTGAAAGCCAATAGAATTAGACTCTATTCAAGAGAGTCTATTCTATTGGCTTTCAAAAGCCAATAGAATAAAAGGGAGTAGCACAGCTAAGGAAAAGGGGGAAAAAATGGTGGACTGCGCTGTTTGGCGACCCCCGTGAAATGGTCATTCGACCCCAAATGGGGTCCCAACCCACAGGTTGAGAACCACTGCTCTAAAAGGAATGCAAATGACCAGCTCTCTGCAAGGAGTATAAATCTTCCATTCCCCACCATCCAGGCAGAGCTAAAGAAGTTTTTTGGATGAGAAGCGAAACGTCTTCAAGGAAAAAACAAGAACGTCCAGTTGCCTCTTGAAAAAGGACCTTTGGGACAACCAGGACCTCAGAATCTCCATAGATAGACGAAAAGAAAGATACAAATAATTTTCTTAGCCATAGGTTTCTTTTATTGTTAGGTTCTGTTTTCTTAAATATTTTTTTAAAAAATGCTGGCCTTTGATCGGGTGACAGGATGTACCAATGATGTCATGTAAAGGATGGGATTGAAATTTTCAATTTTCAAATTCTTTTTAAAATAAGCAATATATTGGCATTAAACCAGCATCTGTTTCAGCTATTAACACAAGCGGTCCTTGACTTACGACTACAAAGGAGTCCAAAATTTATGTGGCGAAGCGAGACATTTGTTAAGAGAGTTTTGCCCCGTTTCACAAGTTTTCTTGCCACGGTTGTTAAATGAATTGCTGCAGTTGTTAAGTTGGTAACTTGGTTAGGAAGTGAACCTGGCTTCCCCTTCGACTTTGCTAGTCAGAAGGATGCAAAAACTGATCACATGACCTTGGGACACCACAGCTGTCATAAATATGAACCAGTTGCCAAACAGCCAAATTTTGATCCCGTGACCATGGGGGTGTCAACGCTGCTAACATCGGATGTTCTTGCTTTGACAACATATGGAGATGCAACCATTTTCCTTCTTATGTTTTACTCTTAGAATTAGAGTTAGAATTAGGTGATACTTGGGGGGGGGGGAGGAATGTGCATGGGAGTTTAGTTAGACATACTGTAACTAGTGTGAGAACCAAGGTTTTTGAAATGAGAGATGATAAGAATTGGTGGGTTGGAGAACTGGAGGGAAAGTCTGCATTTCAAGCTAATTGGGGAATGTGATTTATGACTGTAAATTAGAGGAGGGAATTGTGCTTTGATACTATGTGCTCAGGGGAGGGGAATTCAGATTTTGGTTTTGGCTATGTAAATGCCGATGCCATGCTTCTCAAATAAAGATTCTTTAAGGTAAACAATGCCTCGAAGTTCTTTGAAGAGTTTCATTTTTCATTTTTTTTTAAATTTTTATTTTTAATCAACAAGACAAAACAGAACAAAGCAAAACATAACACACATACACACAATATATATATTCCTCTTTGAAGAGTTTCATCTGTCGGAACCATGACAGGGGGATGCTGCAACAGTCGTGTGAAAAACGCATGTCACTTTTTTCAGTGCAGTTGTAACTTCGAAAAGTCACTAAATGAATTGTTGTACGTCAAGACTACCTGTATGATCCCAAAACAGGAAAAACTTCAGGTCAGTGCTTCCGGTTTAGGATTTAATGGGATGAATGCCTGGCCTAATTCTTCAGCAATGATTCCAACATTTATTTCTCCCCTTAAAACTCTCAATGGAGGGAATCTTTTGGCCTTAACCACTCCAGAGTTACGCTGAGGGTACTAGGAGTTGAAATCCCCATGTATCTGGAAGGCTGCCACCATAGAAACCTGAAAAAGACATTGCTCAGTTTGATTGATGAACAGCTTGAGCTGGCATAAAGAATTTTTTTTTATTGTAGTCGAACTCTCATAAAAATTGTCACATAGGTAGTCCTCAACTTACGACCATTTGTTTAGCGACTGTTCAAAGTTACAATGACCCTGAAAAAGTGACTTTTGATTGGTCCTTTCACTTATGACTGTTGCAGCATTCCCACGGTCGGGTGATCAAAATTCAAACAGTTGGCAACTGACATGTATTTATGACAGGTGCAGAGCCTGGATTGATTGTTATTTGTGACAGGATTGTTATTTGTGACCTTCCCAGCTGTCTTATAACAAGCAAAGTCAAAGAGGGAAGCCAGATGTGCTTAATGACCATCTGATTCGCTTAACAACTGTACTTTAATAAGGAAAAGACTATTTAGTGGAGCTTGATTTCTATAAAATGTTGGGATTCATCCCTGTAATTTTCTTCTTGGAGGTTGGTCATTGCTGACTTCCCACTTAGAGCTGGGGATTTTCTAGTGGTCTCCCATCCAAATATACATCAGGTCTTACTCAACTTTCTGAGATCAACCAAAATTAACTAGGTGGTGCCAACTGCTGGTCCAATACAGCCATAATCTTTTATTGGATTGTTATACAGTATGCCATTCAAGAGTCACAGGTAGTTCTCGACTTACAACAGTTCATTTAGTGACCATTCAAAGTTACAACAGCACTGAAAAAAGTGACTTATGACCGTTTTTCATCTTACAACCATAGCAGCATCCCCATGATAATGTGATCAAAATTCAGATGCTGGACATCTGGTTCATATTTATGACGGTTGCACTGTCCCAGGGTCATGTGATCAACTTTTGCAAACGTCTGACAAGGAAAGTCAATGGGGAAGCAGACTCACTTAACAACCGGGTTACTAATTGAACAACGGCAGTGATTCGCTTAACAAATGTGGCAGAAAAGGTCATAAAATGGGGCAAAGCTCACTTAATAAATGTCTCACTTAGCAACATAAATTGTGGGCTCAGTTGTGGTTGTAAGTTAAGGACTACCTGTACTGTGAGATAGAAACATAGAAAAATAGAAAACTAATGGCAGAACAAAGACCCAGTGGTCCATCAAGTCTGCCCTTTGAGTTTTTTGTGTGTCTCTTTTTGTTTCCTTGAGCAACCACTTAGATATTATTAAGACATTGAAAATTAAAGTAAAATATCATTGTGGCTTCCCTGAGTGGTTACTCAGTTGAACTTTCCACAGGGCATTTACATTTACATTGCTGGAAGTTTTTAAAAAGAGACTAGACAATCACCTGTCTGAGATGGTATAGGTCAGTGGTGGCGAACCTATGGCACGCGTGCCAGAGGTGGCACTCGGAGCCCTCTCTGTAGGCACCATGCCCCGGAGAGGGCAACTGTCCCTCTTCAACCAGCCACCCGCTAAATTGCCGATATCCCACATGGCTGGATGCATCCCAGCACCCATGCGCTTGCTGGCCTTTGTGTGCGGGGGTCGATGGCGTCAGGCAGCAGCTGCCCCAGCCCCTGCCTCACCTGCGACAATGGCACCCCCACTCTGCCTCACCTTGCCTCACCTCACCCTACAGCACGAGCCTCCTGCCCACCACCCCACCTGCCAGAGACCCCCTGGATCTCTCCCAACTCTGCCCAGCCCCCACAGACATCTCTCCCCAAAGCAACATCGAGGTGATCATGCCCACCTTGGCCACACCCACTCAATCTGCCATGGCCACCACAGCCACACCACCCAGTGGTCCATGCCCATCTGTCACCCAATGATAAATAAGTGGGTTTTGGGTGGCAGTTTGGGCACTCGGTCTCTAAAAGGTTCGCCATCCCTGGAATAGGTCCTCCTGCTGAAGCAAGGGGCTGGACTAGAAGACCTCCAAGGTCCTTTCCAGCTCTATTCTATTCTGTTCTGTTCTGTTCTGTTCTACTCTACTCTACTCTACTCTACTCTACTCTACTCTACTCTACTCTACTCTACTCTTCTACTCTATTCTATTACCAATATTGGCCAGATTCCATGTAGGACTTTGTAGGTATTTTAGATGACCCCCCAACATCATTGACCATGATAAGCTAAGTCGAGAGCTAATCATAACAACCAAAGGCAGTGAAGGTAGGACAAACAGGCAGAAAACTGGCAGAACGCATCCATGAACACCAGCTGTCAGTCAAAAGGCAGGAGAAAAATTCTTCAATTTCAATTTCAATTTCAGAACACATAGGGAGATTTAACTATAGTTTCAATTGGGAAAATGTGACCATCCTAGACCAGGCCAAGTCCATAAGTGCCAGGGAATTTCTAAAAGCCTGGCACTCTGACAAATCGGCCATCAATAGGAACATTGACATTAACAACATCTATAGACTATGCAAAAGAGACAATCAACCAGCCTCAAAGAGAAACAGATTCCAGCACCTCCCCACCAGTAATCAGCACCCAGATCAGCATAGAGCAGTGGTTCTCAACCTGTGGGTTGGGACCCCATTTGGGGTCGAACGACCATTTCACGCGGGTCGCCAAACAATGCAGTCCGCCATTTTTTCCCCGTTTTCCTTAGCTGTGCTACTCCCTTTTATTCTATTGGCTTTTGAAAGCCAATAGAATAGACTCTCTTGAATAGAGTCTAATTCTATTGGCTTTCAAAAGCCAATAGGAATTGTCCAGGCTGTCTCTGCCCTGCTGAGCCCACCAAAAGTCCCATTCTGCAAACAGTGCTGCACCAGTTGAGTAGTCCTCGACTTACGACCGGTTGAGTAGTCCTTGACTTACGACTGGTTGGGGGTCGCGGCATTAAAAAGGTTGAGAACCACTGGCATAGATTAACTCCAAGGTCACTGTCAGACCAACAATGAAGGAAGCAATACCCCAATCAAGAAACTGCCAAAGAGTCATTAGTAAACAGCCCAACCAGCCCTTAAGACTGCCCCCCACCCACCCAGACAGGCAAGACACCAGATTATAAACTGACATCAAACCGAACTCCTTACTAGCACTGATAACATTACCTAGTGTGCTAATGAAACGTCTGCAAGAAAACAAGCAAGCTCAGAGGGCACCAAGGACCCCTCATGTCAACCCTGAGCTACAAATATTCTCCTTCATTGAAGGTAGAGATGTCCAGCCTTGGCAAATGTAAGACTGGTGGACTTCAATTCCTAGAATTTCCCAGCCAGCATGAAGTCTACCAGTCTTATAGTCGCCAACATTGGACACCCTTAATCTAAGGCAGGGGTCCCCCACCCCAGTCCATGGACTGGTACCAGTCCGCGGCATGCCAGCAACCGGTCCACCCAAACAAGCAAAGCCCCATCCGCGGGATGCAGGCAGCACACAAAACCACATCCCCTCTGGTTCACAGAATAACCTCTCTCCAAGGAACTGGTCCCTGGTGCCCAAAAGGTTGAGGATCTCTGATCTAAGGGACACCAGCTTGGTGACCGCTGAGGTACAGAAGGAATGGAAATATCTCTGTTTGCTTTTCATTAGCCATATTTGTCCTTTAATTAATGTCATTCCAGTGTAGGCAGCTCCACTGGGCAGAGAGATTAGCTAGAACTTATTGGATACCTTTGCTACGTGAGATCCACCTAGCAACCTTGGAGTAAGGAGCTGATAGCCCTCCTGATTAGATGTCTGGGAGTTAATGTTTGACTCACTGTTTGGGTGATACGAGGAAAACAGGAATGCATAATGTTGAGTCTTCTCCCCTTGGATCAGCAGAACAGGAGGTCGTTGTGCCCATTACCAGCTGAGAGCTGCAGAATAGGAGAAGAAAAAGAGACTGTAGCACTGGACACAGAACATAGAATCATACGGTTGGAAGGGACCTTGGAGGTCCTCTAGTCCAACCTCCTGATTATACCATACTGGACAAATGGCTGTTCAATCTCTTCTTGAAAACTTCCAGTGATCCACAACCTCTGGAAGCAGGCCATTTCACTGATAGATTGTTTTCACTGTCAGGAAATCTCTCCTTAGTTCCAGATTGGATATCTCTTTAATGATCTTCCACCCATCTTCTCTTGCTCTAAGGTACTTTGGAGAGTCTTCAAATCTTCAGGTTCATCTACGTCTTCAGCTGGGTGAGTTGGGGTCCCATATGACATACAAGGACCATGGCTTGGAATATTTTCAATGGCAGTTTCCTTCTAAGGTCCAGATAGTGTGTGAATAAGAATCTGTAACTCTCCTGATCTCTCTTTTGACCTGGGTTCTTGGCTTCCATTCTGACATCTTCCTTCTGATCTTCAGTATCTCAGCTTTAACGGTTGCCTAAGGCTCAGGGCTGATCCTCACCATGATCCGAAAGCATGATTGTTTAAACAACATCACTGCTCCCATATGGAACTTCCACCTGGTGCTGGCATTGGGCATCCCTCAACTTGTCATCACCTTCATCTCAGCCGTCTTCAATTCAGGCGTGGTCCTCGGGGTGGTGTTCTCAAAGGACTTGCACAAACCCATCTTCATCCTTTTCTGCAACTTAGCCATCTCCGATTTCCTCTGTGGCTCTTCGGGCTTCTGGATCGCCATGCTGTTCATCACAGACCCTCAAAGCACCGTCGTGGGGTCCAAGCAACTGCTCAGAGCTTACGCCTTCTACGCCATGTCCATCCTGGCCACCATTTATAACTTAGTCATCATTGGGATCGAACGCTACTTGGCTGTATCCAGATGCTTAAGGATGACATACCGAATTACCAGGAACCAGATTTTGAGTACCACGTTGGTTATTTGGGCGTGTGCCTTCTCCTTGGGTTTCATGCCTCTGATGGGGTGGAACTGCTTGGAGAAGGATAAAATTTCTGCTCTGTACAGTCCGTTGTGCATGGACTATCTCACCTTCATCACTATTCCTCACTGTCTAGTGGTGTTAGTTCTACCCCTCTTCACTTATGCAAACATCATCATCTTTTTGAGGAAACACAAAGGAACTATGGAAACTCTAGGACAGTGCCAGGCTACCTACCGTCTAGCTGAAGTCCAAGTTGCCAGAACCAGTGTATTGATTTGGGTCTTAGCTTTGTTTTCCTATGCGCCCTTCTTCGTCGGGGTGGTGTTTGATTCAGCTACTCAGCAGTGTCCCAGTGAGCATTCTCGAGCCATCTATATCTTCAGAAACCTCACGGCAATGATGATCACCATTAACTCACTAGGAGACCCCATCATATACTCTCTGAATATGAAGAAGCTGGGACACAAGCTTAGGTTTCTGAAACTTCCTTCCAATAACCGCATTCAAGTACAAGCCATTGAACAGACCTGATTTTGGGTGACTCTCTGGACCTGTGAATTTCCATCTCTTGTGACTTATCAACAACTGGTATGATAGATGGTGCTGTCCTTTACAGGTCTACTCAGAAATCAGTCCCATTTAAGTCCAATGGGACTTACTCCAAAGTAATAGAATGGAAAGGGAGTGGGTGGAAGACATGTAAAACCTTTCATAAAGAGGCATGACAGAATACAGATAGTCCTCAACTCACAACCATTTGTTTAGTGACCATTCAGGGTTACACCATCATTTAAAAAGATGATTTGTGGCCAGTCTTCATACTTAGGACCATCGTTGTATCCCCATGATAATGTGATCAAAATTGGAAGACTTAACAATTGGCATGTAATAGCAATGTTGGTTGCAGCTCCCTGGGGTCAGTTTCTGATAAGCAAAGTCAATGGGGGATGTCAGATTCACTTAACAATGTATGATTCACTTAACAACTGCAGTGATATGCTTAATAACCATGGCAAAAAAGGTCATAAAATCGGGCATGACTCATTTAAGAATTGGAGATTTTTAAGAAGATGCTAGATAGTCACTTGTCTGAGATGCCATAGGTTCTCCTGCTAAAGGGGGGCTGGACTAGAAGACCTCAAAGGTCCCTTCCAGCTCTATTCTATTCTATTCTATTCTATTCTATTCTATTCTATTCTATTCTATTCTATTCTTCTTCCTTATTCTGTTCTATTCTATTCTATTCTATTCTATTCTATTCTATTCTATTCTATTCTATTCTATCAAGAGCTATTTTTATGACCTCTCTCTCTCTCTCTCTCTCTCTCTCTCTCTCTCTCTCTGGTCTTTTGGGAAGTACCTATCAATCTGATTTATTCTGATTGAGTTTGTAGTCCTCCCCTTTTTTAAATTAGAAGACTAAACATAAAAATGGTTGGTTTTCGATGGGTTCTGAATGCAGATTTACAATACAGTTATTGTACTGTTACCCAATTTCAGCACCTGAAGGGGCGGACAGTTCCCCGCCAATATTAAAAACGGGAACGACCAAAATTGCTTTAAAACGTAAATCTCAGGCGCACTGGAGAAAATACAGTACAAATTCAGGTTGAAAATTCAAGATTGTAATGTGAACTTCTTCCACAATGAATTATTAATCAGAATAATTCTCTGATGACTACAAAAGCTTGCTTTATTTTTTATTTTTTGCTTCTTCCTACAGTAAGTATGTTACACTTGGCTTTAAAAAGATCATTTTATTGGTGGTTCTTTTCCATCAATTATATCTGTTTACTCAACTAATTGCCTGTATGATGGATCTCAGCCAGATAGCGCCTCTAATAATGAATTATGACCTACAAAGGTTTACCCAATAATTACCTTTGCTGGACCCCCAAATTTATTGCTGACATCTTAGAAAAATGGCTTGGATTGGCATCTCTCCTCTAAAACAATGGTGAACATTGGAGAAAAAGACAAGATTTTTTTTTAATGAGATTTAAATTTAAAACGGGTAACATTCACAAAACAATGCTTAATCTGGATTTAGAAATATATTGTTTTATACACATTCGTGAACTCAAGAAATCAGAAAATGTGCATAGTGTGTTTTTATAAATTAATAAAAAGGCTTTGCTGGAGGATGCATATTGCATCTCTGTATGATCCTCCATTCCATTCTCATTTTTGGGGGTGCCTAATGCATCTCTGTATGATCCACCATTCTGCTCTCATTTCTTTTGCTATTATTGTTTATTGATCGTGCTAATAATTGTGCCCCTATCTTGCATGGATTGTGATTGGCTCCCTTCATTGTGACTGTGGGAGAACACTAAGAGGAAAAAACTCATGCTGCCCTATATACAACTATATACAACTACTCAGAAGTAAATCCTATTCAGTGGGACCCACTATGTGATAGGATTGCTTAAGATAGTATCAGAGACATCAGAATGGAACTGACATGTCCTACAATCTTCTTCTAACACTGGAGCATTGAACAGGGGTGTTCAGGGAGGGCAAAAAAGTCAAGATGGCAGTTGCAATTGCCCTCTTGACTGAACACAGAGACATGGGGCAGAAGATCCAGCTGATGACATTTGAATTTTGGAGTCCTCTTGTAAGTTCCTTTTAAACTGATCTCCAGACTGCAGCTGTTTCTCTGGGCAGATTTTATTTTATTTTAATTTACACCTGCCATATTGCTCTCCAAAGCTGACAGCCAGAGGAATGTCAAGGAATTTAGTTCCCCTTTGTAGAGAGAGGAAAAAGAGAGAGAATAGTTGTTTAGTCCTGGGGCAGGAGAAAGGGTGACAAAAAGACTCAAAGAGCCCTGCCTTTATTGTATTGTTCTTCAAAAGGGTAATGAAGATTTGGATTAAGTTTTCAAGATTCTGTTAACAGAGAAAATGAAAGACGCATTCTTGGAGTCCTTGAGGTGTCCATTTTCTGACCTGGCCTATTTCAAAGGGCTGGCAGGTAGGCACCAGCAAATCTGCAAGAGACCTATTAAGCAGGATTGTGCTCGACTGTGCAGGCTGCCGAAAAGCGGGGACTCGGAGTTCCCGGGGTTATGGCTTCTGGCGTGCCGTTTGCTGAGTCTGACCTGGAAAAGCGCGTTATGGGAACGCAGCTCTTGCGTGAATTTCAAAGGGTGGGTGGAAGGAAAAACCCCTTTGGGTTTTAAAAGGGTGGTTTTGCACCCTGCATCAGACGGGGCTGAATCGGGCTTGTGTTGTACCCGTGTGTTGTGAGAATGCAGCTCGACTCCTTGCATCTTGCGGAAGCAAACAACAAAGTAATCCTTCTTCTTCTTACTCCTCCTCCTTTTTCCTCTCCTCCTCCTCCCTTATTCTCCTTTTCCCCCTTTAATGAATTAACTTTGTCTTTTTTGGCTTCTCACAGAACAAAGAGTTAGGGCAGGGGTAGGCAACCTTGGTTCTTTTATGACTCGTGGACTTCAATTCCCAGAATTCCTGAGCCAGCCATGCTGAGGAGAAAGGGAGAGGTTTCCATGCTGAGCTATGATGGCTCAAGAATTCTGGCAGTTGAAGTCCACGAGTCATAAAAGAGCCAAGGTTGCCTACCCCGGGGTTAGGGAATCTTTCTGTCACTGGATGCCCTCTGGATGCCCTCTCCCATTGTGTAAATTCCCCTTCACTTCTTGGCGCTGCTTGTCTCCAGCTTGGCTAATTATGTCTGATTCCCATCCACAAGGATTAAAAGATTGGTTCCTTGTGATGCACTGTTTGAAATTCAAACTTTTTAATTTTGGGGCGTGGGGGTGGCGTTCTTTGTCCTTTTTTTTTTTCAAATGTCGGCTGTTTATTTTATTATTATTATTATTTAAAAATAGATTCTCCTGAAATCTCTTCCCAGTTTTTTCAAGCAGTTTTTTTATTTCCATCCCCATTTTAAAAAAAACACACACACAAACAAAATGCTCATTTCTGCATTTCAGCCAGATCCAGAATCCTGCCAGCTTCGGGAGGTGCCTGGGAATTTATTTATTTTTTTTAAAACAGGAAGTTGATATGGACGAGGGAAAGGCAGAATTCTATCTCCGTGCATGTGTGTGATTGTGTGACAAACCACCTTTCAAAGCCAAAGTGGGGCTGCTTGGAGCACCACATGTCGTGTCAACTTACTACAGGTAGTCCTCAACTTACATTTCTTTTAGTGACTGAAGTTACAACAGCACTGAAAACAAGTGACTATTTTTTAACACTTAGGACCATTGCAGCATCCCCAGGGTCACATGATCAGGTCATCCTTGACTTACAACAATTCATTTAGTGAACATTCCAAGTTACAAGGGCACTGAAAAAGTGACTTATGACCATTTTTCACACTTGTTGCATGATCATGGGGTCACCTTAATAATAATAATAAAGTTGGAAGGGACCTTGGAGGTCATCTAGTCCAACCCCCTGCGCAGACAGGAAACCCTATACCATTTCGGACAAATGGCTCTCCAGTCTCTTCTTAAAAACTTCCAGTGTTGGCGCATTCACCGCTTCTGGAGGCAGGTTGTTCCACTGGTTAATTCCTCTAACTGTCAGGAAGTTTCTCCTTGGTTCTAGGTTGCTTCATTCCGTGATTAGTTTCCATCCGTTGCTTCTTGTCCGGCCTTCAGGCACTTTGGGGAATAGCTTGACTCCTTCTTCTTTGTGGCAGCCCCTGAGATACTGGAAAACTGCTATCATATCCCCCCTCGTCCTTCTCTTCATTAAACTAGACATACCTAATTCCAGTAGCTGTTCCTTACATGTTTTAGCCTCCAGTCCCCTAATCATCTTTATTGCTCTTCTCTGCACTCTTTCTAGAGTCTCAGCATCTTTTTTAGTCTCGACATCTTTTTTACATCGTGGTGACCAAAACTGGATGCAGTATTCCAAATGTGGCCTTACCAAGGCATTGTAAAGTGGTATTAACACACTTCACGTGATCTTGATTCTGTCCCTCTGTTAATGCAGCCTAGCACTGTGTTGGCCTTTTTGGCAGCTGCAGCACACGGCTGGCTCCTATTTAAGTGATTGTCCACTAGGACTCCGAGGTCCCTTTTACAACCTGATAAGCAAAATCAATAAGGTAAGCCAGATTCACCTGGCAACCTTCTTTATAACTTAATAACTGCAGTCATTCACTTAACAACTGTGGCAAGAAAGTTCATAAAATGGGGCAAAACTCACTTAAGAACTGCCTGGGGTAGCAATGGAAATTTTGGGCTGAGTTGTGATCGTAAGTTGAGGACTACTGGTAAAGGAAAACAAAACAAGAAAGAACAAAAAACAAGTAAGACCAAAAACTCTTTTGCCTGTCGGGTGCAAATGGATATGAGTGCATATTGGGAGAGATTTCTCCTTATCTCTTAAAGAGAAAAGCAAACATTTTAAATCTCCTGATTCAACATTTCTACCCAGAACACGTCATGTAAGTGATGTTAATGGGCATAAGAAACATGGTTCATTTTGCTGATCAATGCGGATCAGCCTTGAATAAATTTATCTTTCATTATAAGGCAGTCACATATATTGTCTACTGTGTAATTTTCCTTCAGCCAAAACAGTTTTCCACGGTTTAAAATATCACCGATCCAATTAAATAATTCATTTTGCAGCGTCGGGCGACCCTTCTCCTTGCCAGCTAGAAAAGAGGAATTAAATAGATTTTATGGCTGTGCCTTAAGAAAGGCGGACAATAAATAAATTAGCA